CCTCATTACGCCAATTCGGTGGCGATATTTTTTGCCGACGCTCTTAGCCGTTGCCATGATTGGCCAAACAGCGAAACAGACAGATTGTACATTCAGACACGCTTAATTATCCGTTCTCAGCGACAGTTTATTTTACTTTAATTGCGGTGTTTTTTTTTAGGGATACGAGCAACGCGAAATCCCGTCAAGCTCTACTTATTATTAGCGCGAAGTTTAAGGAAAGAAGTCGGGACGTGTCCGTGTGTGCAATTACATACAGAGTTGAACGTGTCAATGTGCATGTAGAAAAAGATTTGGTTGGATTAATCGAACGTCTGATGAAATACGAACGAAGCAGAAATTCCGCTTGTAGTTGCCAGACTTCTGCAAGATTTTTGGTTAAGCAGAATTTGCAACTGTTGAAGTTAGCCAGAATCTTGTTAATTCGAACAGAATTCTGATAATCGGAACCCCGGTTTGTTCATATTTCAGCAAACATTGACCCAACCAAATTCTTTTTTCCGTAAAACGATAAAATAATCGAATACCTCGCTCGCGAGGATCGGTATTTGCCGCGCTCGAGAATCCGAAGGAGTAACGGGAGCGTGGCACCTGCTATCGCCGAACGCGGAAACAATCGCTTTTCCCCGAGATAACTCGCACCAGATACGATTGACGACGTTCGACGTTTCGCCCGCCGCGGCTTCTCGAAACCTATCCGCGACATATCCGATTCAATCGGAGAGACGAGCGATGCTAGATAAACGATGGTCGGCCATTACCAGTCCACCTCGTGTAATTACTGATCCTCAGATACACCTTTCCGCTTTTGCATGCTCGTTTTGCGCCAGCTCGATCTCACCGGGTTTCTTCGACCGGGACGTCTCATCCGCGACTCTCCTTGGACTCTCGGGATTCCCGGATGTCCATCATTCGAATGCCCCAATGTCAGCCAACTATAAGTTCTTAGAGATCGCATAAACGCTGATAACACACACACACACACGTACTGATCTAGACTTCTTAATTATATAGACGAAAATACGTATCGTAAAGTACGATACGGATCAGAATTACGTAACTAATGTAATGCACCGAGGATAGACGTGACAAATGTTACCTTGCAGATTATCAGACGAGACTCCATGTACTTTCCCTTTTATCTCGCGCATAAACTTTCCGCACGCGATCCGCGATAGCGATAGACCGTCACCTCATGGAGGTCGTCCCAAGCGGATAGTCGCCGGGCAGTCACGGTTCTTTTCAGGACCTCGAGTCCAACCCGCCGCGTAAATCGAATAGAAATCGAGGGCGTCGATATCGGGCCCCGGGCGAGTGCATCGCGCCGCGCGGTGCAGCGCGGTGCATCGCGGCGCGGCGCGGCGCTGCGCCGCATAAAACGTGGGTCGAGCGAGAGATAACTCGGCGTTCGCGCCGCGGAGCCCAGCTGTGGGCGCGGCGGATATCCCGCTGTGTCTCTCCAACATGGCCGACGTCATATGCACACCCACGCCGTGTCTCTCCCTCTGCCTGCCGCGTCTCTCCTTCTCTCGCTCGCTCAGTCTCTCTTTCTCCCTTTCTCTCCCCCCTCTCTCTCTCTCCCTCTTTCTCTCTCCTTTTCTCTTTTTCTCTCTCTCTCTTTCTCTCTCTCTCTTGATTCTCGCCGCATCGAATTACACGGTCGGCGAAGTAATTTACAAAGCTACGCCCGCGAACGCGAGCGCAGCACGGAATCGTATCCGTTACATCCCTCCGCGCGGCGGCGCGCGTACAAATTCGCGATCGCCGATAACGATACCGCGAGAGATTAATGGCGCCGCGCCGCGGTCTCTTTGTCTTTCGCCGGCTGGGGCAACGTCGACAAAAGCAGTCGCGGGGTCCCTGATTAATTAGGAACACGGGCGTGGTAATGGGTGGGTCGGACGGAGATATTTCGCGATCGGGAAAATCACGTCGCCACTTTCTCTTCACTTCGTCGCTCTTTTATAAACGCGCAAATAATGTTTGTCTGCTAAGGTAAAAATATCAATGCCTAGACGCTGACAGCATTAATACTTAACTCTTGTTAACATTTTTCTTGTTTTGGTTTTTAAATCTATGTTAACATGTTCTATGTTAAAAGTTTATATATACATATATATTCGACATATATATACACATATGATATGCAAAAAGAAGGGTTCAAGACTTTTGAGGTAGATAATACTCATTTTACGGAATAAAATATATTTAGTAAACGCAGATAAAAAAGTCAAACTTTTTAGAGTTACAAATTTTTCCCAGTTTTGATTTTAAGATAATTTGTGTACTTGAACAGTCTTAAATCCATTTTTCTAATCCACCTTATATATTTTTATAATAAATGTTCAAATATTCATATTTAAAAACCAAAACAATAAAAATAGCCAGAATTAGATGTTGAAAAATTCTCAACTATAGATATTGTGCCAAGTTTGAGAAAAGGCAAAATTGCACTCACATTTTGTGAACTTTTATAACGTCTCAACGTATTTCTCGATGACCATTTCTCGGTGGCATCTTAATCCCTTCGTAGCAGGTTTCTCAGCTCTCTCTCCTTAGGGTGCGCAATTCCCGTCCGTCGACCTCTGGAAAAAGAAAATAGGGAAAGCTATTCTGCACGACGAAGGGACTATTTCGAGACACTTGAACAGAAGGCCGCGATCGAGTTGGCACGCGTTGTCCAGTGCGCAGGAATCAAATCTAATCGCTTCCTGATTCAATTGTCTATTCAGGCATTACGCGAAGAGCCTCGTTCCCTTCTCGCAGCGTTTTCAAAAAACAAAAAGGAAGGGGAAAGAATCGTTAGGAGAGTCGCGGCTTCCTCGTTCGTCGCACTCAGGTGCCACGTTGTGAATACGGCGGAGTTTCCTGTCTCGCCGACGCTTCGACAAGAATCAAGCCGTTTAACCTACGTGCATGGCTGACGAAGCGAAAACTATTGCTACAGTTTCAAGTATCGGCGCATCGTTGCTACCACGTGAGAACGCGGTAACGAGTGATGAATACAATAGAAAATAGTCGGGAGCCCTAAACACGTGTCCGCCGGCTGTAATTGACGCGGAAATACCACGCGCGGAAAGGTCTATCGTTCGGCCGAAGACGCAGAACCCGGCCGTATGTCCCGCTAGCCACTTAATCCGCAAACATGGCGGTTCGGCCGAGCGTTACGCTCTGGCGCCGGTTTATCGGTGAACGGGGAAACGTGGTGAACGATGAGTAGGCGATGCTCGTGTAAGCCGATGCTGGTACGTTCTCGATAAAGGCACAATTTCTGTTCATACTAAATTACTCGATTTTCTGCTCGTTGGAGATAGCGCGCGCGCGCGCGCGCTCGCTCGCTCGCTCGCTTCTTTTCTACGCTTGTCAAGACGCAAGACCGTTGTTGGTGTATTGGCGGTAAGTGTACTTAACGTTAGGGTCTGCTAGAGTGAGAACAGAAGTAATTTAAATTCATCGTGCTATTGCTGCATTCCCACTTCAGTCGTAACGTTATAATTTGCGCAACAAGAATGATCCTCTGTATCATACCGACAGAGAGAGAGAGAGAGAGAGAGAGAGAGAGAGAGAGAGAGAATTTACCAAAGATAGATAAATGCTTTATTTGTAAGGCGCTCTGGATTTATTTGTAAGGAGACAATCGTCTCCTCAAACGCACACAATGATGCAATAAATTCATATAATACAAAATCTTCCTAAATACAAGCCCTAGAAGAATTACCTAAACAGTTGCCCGGAAAAGTGAATCGTCCGTGCCATTGTCGGAAATGTGGTAATTGACGTTTCTTTTTACGATCAATAGTTTTCTCACGGTACTTACGAAAGCCGATGCGTACAAGTTGGCCTCTTCTCTCCCAGAACATGTTAATCATTTCATATAGCGCGGCGAGTACGGTGGGCTTCAGATTAGCGAGGAAAATCCGTAGATTGGTTAACGAGGCTCAGTACGAACTCGGCGAAATTGACTCGATTAAAACCCATGGGGCAGCTGCCCTGAGGATTGTGCCCCGTCATGTGATTGGTCCCTTCTCCCGGGTCCTTTCTTCGATCTCCTCCATTTCGAGATGCATCGATACTCGGCCATCATTAATCATGCACTTTTGTACACACTCGTCGATGGGACTCCCTGCGAGGGACATCCGAGACGCAACAAAAATGAATCTCGAAGATCGAGACTGGTCCTGAACGGCGATCGAGGCCAGATGTTATTAACTTATGTAAAATAAACATAAACGAAGGAGAGCCGCGCGCGGGGCACTCCGTTGTGGAAGCAACGGATATTAATCGTGAGACTTTTAGGAGAGAGAGAGGGAGGGAGGAAGAGGCAGGTTGGTAGCGACACATTGCGATTACTTTATGCAAAATATCAAATTAAAGTCGCGATGGCTTTGTAAAACTGGGTAACGGATCGGCGGACATCGGTCGATCAAATTGATTTTAAGATCTTTTAAGATGATCTCTATTGCGATCTAACGGCAAAAGTTAAACGAGAGACTTCGACGTGCGTATATATTTCAATATTTTTAAGGCATCTGTTCCGTTTCATCGAGTCTGACTTGACAGAAGTTTATCTTATAAGGTAATACGCGGAAGGAACATGTGCCGTTTTACATGGTTAGAGAGACGCAAATATGAGACTAAAAGGTTGGTGTAAGTTTAATTACGAGAGAATTAAACGTCGACATAGAAGACGACGAAAAAGCCTGCGCCCGTATATTTGCATCTCTTCGATTTGCATTTAAAGTGCAACCCGCATGTAGCTCGTTCTTTCGATCATATACGAACAGATAATAAAAAGAGGAGTTCTGCAATGTATATCTTCTGTCTAAAAGAACCACTTTCGACTACAATGTCACGAAATAATAGAGACCATTATTACCGTTCAATTATCGTGAAAGTGAGATATGTACTGAGGAATAGGTAATAAATTGAATCGATTACGCGCGATCTTCATTTCACGCCAATAATGTCGCACCTATGTATGGGCGTTTGTTTCCTTTCAGGATATGGACCTGATCGAGGTGCTCTGGAAGCAGGATGTGGATCTAGGATTCACGTTGGTGGAGCCGGCGGCACCGGCCAAAAAGCCGTCCACGTCGGAGAAAGAATCAGCGGATGAGATCGAGAAGCTGAAAGCCTTGGAAGCTATTAACGCCACCAATCAGAAGGTATGTGAAAACTCGTCCATTTCTTTCTTTCTTTTGATGCACACATGGGACTAATAAAATACGCCGTGCCGTTCCAATTTCGCGTCAGCCGTGTGTCGTTCCCCGCGACATTATTCATAAGCTTACGCGGGCGCGCGATTTCACTCATGCTCGCGACCGTCCAATCGCGCGGCGATTAATAAACAATTGTTTATCGAGATTGCGTCGCGCTTTCTGCTTTCACGCGTTAGGAGGAAGCGTCCGCTTCCTCGGACTTAATTTAAATCTTCGTTTCTCCGTGTGCCAACGGGCCCATTGACGTCTTCCTGTGTCCCCCGGGCGATTATCGAAGATAGAAAGCTCCGCGCGCGCGTGCACCTGCGCGCGCTGCTGAAGAATAGCTCGCGACATCGCGCGTTTTCCGTTCTGCCTCTCGGTAATCATCGGCCAATTGGGTTGGTTGTGCGAATAGGAAGCGGCATTCTCCGCGCGACGCGAGAGAGAGACTTCCAGATTTGGTTTCCGGGCATTTGTACACACACACACACACACACACACACACACACGCACGCATACGTCGGAGAATACTTAAGAGGACGTTATCCGTTCTCTTCGTCCGTACCCCTTAGCCGTCATCAGGAATCAATTTGCTGACTCGATTCGAGAATAGCGCACGCCGGAATGCGTCTCGAGACGGTACAATGGTAGCCGTTTGACGTGCTGATAGAAGGGGGCATAAACAGGGAACAATTTGTGCCGATAGATTCGTATCGACTCGTGCAAAGTCGACGGCACGGCACAAAATGAAGATGACACCATTTGCCCGGCTAACGATGGAATTCGATCGTCGGGGTGGTTATCTTCTTACAATCTTTTCGTGGAGCATCCCGCGCGAAGTGCATAAAGCTCATTCGCAGGGGGTTGCGCCCATTTGGGAACGTCAACATTCGCATCTCCGTGCTCCATCTCACCTTCGTCCCTCTCTTCGGGAAATTTCCTTGCGCTGTCTTACCCTTGCTATTTATCGCGTGGCTCCCACGTTCATAATCGCCCGTGGATGAACTATCTCGACGGAGACATTAAGCTGGCCCCAGCCCCTGGCGGTCCTCCTCGACAGACCCGAAGAGAGATTAGGAACCGGCCCACGCGTCCTCGGATATGATCTCGGTCGATATTCCAATCCCTGTTGGTATCAGGCATTGATCTTGTCTGTCCAAGTTGTACGCACAGACTAAGATAGCGGTCACTTTGTCTCACGATGCATGATGTCTGATGGCCCACGAAGAGACACGTTCGCGTGGAGCGACAGGAATGGTTCTTTTCGTGGTGTCTTCTCTCGTGGTATTTATCAATTAAACACCATAACGTAATTTTGTTTACGTAGAAGAGAGAGATCATCTGTTCGATATATTATCTGCTGTCGCTTAAAATAATATTCAAAAGATTTTAGTAGAGGTCGAGAACATTCCGTGATACCTTAATGATTTCATCGTTATAAAAAAATAATAACATTTTATTTAACTCAGTCAATCAATCTTTATTACTTTAAACATCTATAGTTAGTTTTGTAATTATTTGATAATTCATTTTATAATCTCACACATACACATACGTTCTTTCCTTCTCGCTCTGCCCATTTCTCTCTTGCTGTCGCTTGCATAACAGGACGAGCGATTTTTAATTGATAGAGCTTGATTGTCATCCGCGGTGAAATGTATCGGGACGATGTTGTTCCGCTTTACCAGTCACTAGAATGTACCAGTCCCCAGCTCCGGTCCGTGAAGAACGCGGGTTCTCCCGTTGATTGGATTCCAGTCGATTCTTCTCGTGTGAGGTGTTTTTCGATAGCGACGACTTTCCTCCGCTCGGCGCGTTTCGGTGGATGGACGCGAGGTGCGTTTAAGTATCGGAGAGATTCGAGTCTACGAGAGCTCATCCATACGATGGTCACCGACAATGACGCTGCATCGACGTTCTGGGCGGGTAGCCCATCAGACTTCTCGACGTTCTTCGTCCTCCCTCTTGGTCTCTCGTCCTCCCTTCGTCCTCTGGCTTCTTCGCTTCTTCTCTCTTCTTCTCACGACCTTCGGTAGTCGGTGTTCCTTCCTTCTTTCTTTATTTCTTTCCCGACGTCGCTATGCGCCGCTCCGTCTCCCGGCCTCTTCCTCCACGAAGATCGCATTGTTCCAGCGGGTTCCACCTTTGTGAGGGCTCGCCGCCGCCTTCGAGGGCCCAATAATACGGGGAAGACCCTCGATCTCGATCGAAAGCCGACACATCGATACGAGACACGGTCCGCGAACAGCTGAGAACAAAGAGGGGTCCAGTCTCTCGATCGAGTCTCCTTCTCTTCCTCTCTGTCTCGCATTGCGATGGATTATTGACAAGCATTGTTCCAACGTCCCGCCGCAGAATTGTTTTAACTAAAGACAGGCAGCAACTGAGAAACGGCATGGCGTTGTCAGAAGCAATAATGAGAAAATTGGACCGCGCGCGCGTACTTGTACAGTCACATGTCGCTTTTTATTCGGCCCCGAAACCGACGTAATTTCGGTGAGATCGATTAGTTCACGATACCGCGTATTCGCAGTATATCCTAATCGCCGCGAATGATCATTGTTAGTTCGCAAAGCCGGATAAATTGCAGAGAACAACGGATAAATTACGCAAAACTGAAAATCTATTGCGTCAAATGCTCCGCCATCTTTTCGGTCTGCCTACTCCACTCTTGATCTCCTTTCGATCGACGGACGACAATTCAGACAGACACCGAAATCATTTGTCGCGGCAAAATCTGGCAAGATTATAAGCATAGTGTAAAGTCAAGGTCAAATGTGTAATGAAACACTCTTCAAAGATTTTGCAACGTAGAATATTTGTCAACGTGTCGGGAACACGACGTTGATGTCGCTAGGAAGAAGCTAGGCAGGTGAATTGCTGTAAAGCACATTGCATGTTCCTGTTGTACAATTATCTCAAGCCGCCGTGACTGGCAGAAATTTTTAATCCAGAGCCGAGATTTAAATGATCGGTGCACGTCGTGGCGACAGGCTCCATTAGAGCGACTCCGTCTCGCTGCGAAACGGGAATGAATTATGGAAGCGTTTAGAGGAACGTCAATCTAGAAAGTAGGAAAGAGGAAGTTCGATCGAGCTATTCAGGATGGAAAGCAATGGTCGCGAAGACAACAAATTCTCCCGTACTCGTCGGCGGTTTGTTTCGCGCTTCTATTTGTCGATTTCTCACATACGTGTCATTTGTTATTCATCCGCGCGCGAAAAAATATCAGCGCCGTTAGAGCGATTTCAAGCGCGAAAGGCACAATTACGTTGAGAAGAGCAACGGGGAAACAATTGGCGGTTACATTATGCGCAAATTTCTATTACAATTCCCCCGTAGTCTCGCCTGCATACGCGTGTCATCAATTACGCGGGGCAAAGATCCTAGCAACGTCATTGTATAAATATTTGACTCGATACTCGGATCGACCTGCAGTCCGCGCGGAGAGACACTCCCGATGCTCTCTCGGTGCGTATCGTTGGATCGCGCGTGTCGTTAGGCGTATCATCGGCACCCGATGATTCGTAATTATTCCGAGAGTGTCTGCAACAATCGTAACGCAAAGCCCGATCGGTTTCCACTCGGGGAACCTTGCTCACACCGTTAGGTTGTTTCAACGCGGATGCGTATCGCGCAAGATAAATCGCCGCGAGGCAGGCACCTTACTCTCGGAACGTAGGAGGTCGCTTTCTCGAGCTGTCGTGACTGACGCGAATTTTTAATCCACCGACGCGATTCGAATGAAGCGAGTTCTCCTAGACGACGACGGGCTCCATTAGGGCGACTCCGTCTCGGTGCCAGAAGGGCGAGGACGGGGGCTTGGTTGGGTGGATATCGCGCGGTGAGAAGAGGATGGGATCGCGCGATCTGCGCGACGTGGGAGGAGGAGGAAGAGGAGGACGAAGGAAGAGGAGGACGAAGAGGAGGATCTCGACGAAAACAACGGGGTCCTCTCGCCCCGTCCGTCCATCCTTCGCCGAGCGTATTCATAAAACCATCAAAATGGCTAGCGTTCATTTGTTCCTGCGATGTATCCGTGAAGCCGGCGGGGTCTGGGTAAAATGATAGATGTACGCAGCATCCCCTTCGGTACGAGGGGCGCCATCGACGGACCTATCAGAGCGGAAGAGGGACGAGGCCAAAAAGGAAGAGAGAGAGAAGGAACGTTGTCGATTCACGAGGCGGTTCTCGCGGAGAGAAAAAGACAGCGGATGAGAGGAGAGAGAGAGAGAGAGAGAGTGAGAGGGGACCTCGGTAGCCAGAGAGATTGGAGCACTCTGGGAGGGGGATTCCGAGGGACGTATTGATGGTCCTGGAAATTGAAAACGCGCCCGGCCAGCCGAAGTGGGTTTGGCTTCCTTCTTTTGTCCCGATTGTTTCTGTCGGCTGAAATTTTGGAGCAAAATGGCGGACGCACGATGTGACGATCGGGGTTACCGCGTTTTCCTCAACGTGTACATCTTCCGATAAAATTCTTCTCCGCCACTCGCTCCGCGTCTTGCCGTACAGCCAGCAACTTTCTCGTCGCCATTGTCCAATTGTCGGATCCGATCTTCTTCCGATTCTCCTTTCTCATATGACTCTCTGTCGGACTTTCCGCGCCCGGCTGACTCGTAATTATCTCAAGTCTGTAATTATTTCGAGCAGACTCGACACGATGCGATACCTGATAAGTTTTCTCTTAATTTTCTACTACCATTTTCCTCCCCTTTATTCGCGTAATACATGCCAAATACATGATAAATATATAAATAAATGTGCCTGGAACAATGAAGCGCTCGCAATATGCGAAACGTATCGGCTTACACGCGATTCGAGGCAGCGTGACTCGCGCCACATCACCGACGATCGGCGGTACCATATTGAATTCGTATTTACTCGTGGCGATCGAGGCTGATTTGAATTATGCCTTCTATCCATGCTGGTCCTTGTAAGGCGGATGATCGGGGCAGACAGTCGTAACAGTTCGTAAACCTTAATTGAGAGCTATGCCAGCCATGCAAGTCCGTATCGCTGACAGGACCCCCATTGTCGCATCGAGGGCTGCGTCGTCGAGCAGAACCGACGTTTCCTTCGAGAGTCGAAAGAGATGACGTCGTGGGCCCAAAATAAGGCACGCGGCTATACGTGGCCGTGACTCTTCAGAAATATTTTAGGACCGGTTTTATTAATTGCACAGCAATTTTCCAACTTTCTTGATGGAATATTACATAGAACGCGTCTCAGGATCGCGCCTCCAATCGCAGATACGAGGGAGAGAACAAATGAAGATTAAAAAAAAAAAGAGAAATGTGTGAAATCGCTTCGTATTATGATAACAACATTTCTGCGCTATCGCGGAGTCGTAAAATGTCTGCTACCTAGCGCAGATAAGCGACATTTCTCGATTCATGACGTATCTTCAATAATTCACAGCCAAGTGCTCGTTTTCGTTTCGCAGCGAGTTCGATTTTAGGGCGCCGGGATAAATTGAATTTCGTATTCATAACCGCGCGGCGTAACGCACCACTCAACAACGATACATCATATCGCCGGAATGAAAAAGTGACCGTAGAGCGTAGGCAGAGGGGGATGAAAGATTCGAGAGGGGTCGATGAGGGAGAGAACGGCAGGGAGGAGAGAGGAGGAGAGAAGCGGATTCTGGTGGAGCGGGATAGATAGAAGGCCGGTGGTTGTGTGGATGGCCACTATCAGAGACCCGCCGTGATTAATGATCGCGTACAATACTGTTTTCATTAAACTCATTTCACTGCAGCTCGCATGTAACGCCGCTACGGGCGACCTATGGCCCGGGGCATACGCGCGCCCTTGGGCCCTTTTTCCCATCGGCGGTAGGGTCGTTCGCTTGATTATGACGTCTCCATAAGGATCGGCCTTGGCCGACTCGAATGGCGTTCGATTGAGTTCAGCCATTGTTGCGCGAGCTTCGTCTCGAATTCGTCGGCACCGCGAACTGCCGGTGATCGTCTTTGTTGGAATTACGTTTCGTGATCGAGCCGGTATCGATCCACTCTCCCTCTACTTCTCTCTCTCTCTCTCTCTTTCCGAGAGAAAGAGCCACGCTTCGCGTCAGGTCATCCCGTTTGACACCTCTTAGACGCGAGAGCGTCGTTAATTACGGTCAGCGCCTCGCTACACCTCGCGCCACTCTTTCAACCTAATTTTCTAGATAATTTACTGGCTCCTCGTTGCGGTAATATACGCGCGCCCGCGCGCTCGCACATGCATCATTGTCAACTGATTAATTAGAATTAATATGATGGATGAAATGTCTATTCTTGACGGGACGAATCGCGTGATTTAACTGTTTTTCTTTTCGCCATTCGCGGGCTAGTTTGCTCGAGTAATTCCCACTTGCGAAAATATTAGATTAGCGAAAAAAGCGCCTCTCCGTGCGATCGATATTTTTCATCGAAGAACTTGATTTCCAGGATGACGCCAAAGAAACAGAGTCGCAAGAGGACGACCCGTGGGCTGGACTCCCTTACACCGTGGACCTGGAAACCGGTGAGCTGGTTTACAATTTTCACATCTCCCACCTCTTGCGCATTTGCGCGCACCGAGGTGAGAGGATGCGCGCGAGAAATCAGTCATCAAAGCTGACATTAACCGAATTGTTTCACGGTTGGGATCGCCGTTCCGCGAGCATTCTTTTATTTTGTGTCGATCACCATTTTTTTTTATTTTGTTGCTCGTTTGTCGATGACGATCGAGACGCCGCTCTCAGACGCTAATTAAAGAGTTAGTCGGCTTATGTGTGTGTGTGTACATGTGTATGTGTGCGCGCTGCGCATGTTCACGTTCGGTCCGGTGTGTGCCGGCAAGAACAGCTAAATACATCTGGCGCTCGCGGCTCTTTACGTCGGGAGCGTATCGAATTAACGCGGCAATTTGTAAGAGCCAATCCGAACATTCACTATAGTCCCAGCCTGCCGCACCTGGCCGCACCTTTGCGCGCCTAATTAGCATAAACACGCCGACCGAATGCACTTCGCCGGCCATTTCTTTCGAAATACACTATACACCGTGAAATACCTCGTGACCATGCATCATGAGGGAAGAAAAAAAGGAAAAGGGGGGGAAAAAAGACGATCGATATGATCGAGGGCGTGTGATCATAAACGTGTTAAGCGCTGCATTAAAAAGAGTTTAGCCGGGTCGTAAAAGCGTATCCCGCGCGCGGTGCTGGTGACATATCACAAAGGTATTAGAGCGATTAATGTAAGCGCCACACTACTCGCCTCTCTTTTTGCTCTCGCTGCATGTGTAATTGAATAATTGATCGTAATAGAACAAAGTAGCGTACGCCGTCGCGAATGGCTGAGAGGCATCGAATCATGCGTGTCCTCCACTATTCCGCTCTCACCTCTCTCGTACGCCTCGTGATCCGCTAACGAGGAAAGTGATTTGAATCGGGAATGCGCCCGGACAGGCCGCGGATTTTTCCGCCTCGTTGACAACTTAACGCGTGAATCATGAAATGTCGCGAACCAGGCGCATTGTGCGACATCCGCTTGGCGTCCGCTCGGCGGCCAAGTATGCCAAGGTGTCTTCCAGATCTACCGGATCGCCAGCACTCGCAACCGGAGATGAGAGTCGCACCGTGGAAATTAACGGAATTACAGTACAAATGGGAAGCGTGTGTCGCGCGTGATTCGACTTATCGATGAGCGTGTGCGTGTCTCCCTTTTTTCGGCATTTCTCGTCGTCGTCAGCGCGCGCGCGCCTTCCGCCGCATAATGCGGAGAAGTAAGTACATTAGCGGCGAGAAATGTTACGCGACACGAGCCCCATGTGGGAGAAACGCTCGAGGACATTCTCGCGAATGTGTACGTACAGGGGGAAGGCAGCGAAATGGCAGGAGACTGTAACGAGCGCGCATGCAACGCCACGGCGTCTCTACCTGCATGCCAAGGTGTACTTTGTTCAGGTATATAACTACGGGTTTCGAGGCAGGTACCAGTTCCGGAGGACTCGGTGCTGGGGAGTGGCTTCAGGAACGCCCTCGCTACCTTCCTCCCTACCTCCTCGCCTCCTCGAGCCCCACCAGCCTGACCAGCCCTTCGGGGGCTCGGTTCCCCTCTCCTTCTCTGCATTTAATTACTTTGCGCCCGACGGAATATACGCCTAGCTACGAGACACTCCACGTCGAGCGTGCTATCGACGGTTGACGAAGGTCCGCTTGTTAAATTTTCCTTTAGGAATCCGTGTATCGACGGGGCGCGCTCTTACCCTTTACGACTTTTTTTTTCAAGGACGCTCTCCGGGACGATTAATAATTTTCGAAATGTATCCCCGGGAATTGAGAGCGCGAGAGCGTAGGAACGAATTATTAATCCGACAGTAAGCGGTAATAACTTTTCGAGCCGAATGGACCACGAAGAGCACAGCAACCGCAGCCGCAACGGCGGCAGCAGCGGCGAAGCTCATTACGCGGCTATCTCGTCGTCGATCAATCGAGATATTCGGCGCATGGCGTGTATGATTAATGAGCTACTAGACTAATACATAAGAAATTCTTCCATCATCCTTATTCCGTAGGGCTTGATGGGAGAAAATGGTAGTCTGATGTAATATAAAGCAAGAGCGTGATGCGTGCGTCGGGACAGACCGGGTCGACGACTGGATATTAATCGCGAAGCTATTTAAGGTCGACGCATGCCACCTCGTGTGATTCGTGACCGAAAAAGCTCATGCATTTATGCGAAATCGGGAAATCTATTTCTCAGCGGGTAACCTCCGTGCTGCATTCCGGCACGATACATCCGGCCGTTGCTATGCGTTGATTTATTCGCTTTAACATATATAGTTAACGCTTTCTAATAATTTGTACAGGATATCTCGTATAACCTCCGGACTCACATTTGATTCTTCACATTTTGTCAAAGCTTTTATTTCACGAAAGTGTCTCTCTCAAAGCGAGATAAATGAAGGGAACTCTTAGCGACTCTTGTCTGAAAATATACGCAAATTGAAGCCCAACTTAAAGCTTTATATGTTGATACAATATTATACTTTATAGTATTGCGAAAAATAAAGAGACAATATTAATTTGTCGCTTCAGTTGTGCCGAGAGAACGTCGATCTTGCACTGAGAGAAGAGGTATTTGAGAAACACAAGATATTTACTCAGTGGACAACATGTTTTACTTATACCAACATAAGATATTCTTCAAGTAAGAAAATGTACATTTTTTTTAAAACCTATCATGAAAAAGCAATTGTTTATTCTATTTAAATAAAAGATTGAAATGAACACGTTATTAGTACCCACCGAATAAGTATCTTTTATTTTTTGGATGGATTTTTCTCTCAATGTGTGGATTTATTAGAAAATCCGTCGTTAAAAGTGATACGGTGTCGATGACGCAGCTAATATTAATGCTCGTACGAACAATCGTTTCATATACATTCGCGAAACATACTTCGTGCGCATCGCGATATCCGCGCCCAAGACCGGTACTCCGGGGTGAAAAGGAACCGGGAGCGTGTGGATGGAGCGCATGGGTGGAAGAAGGCAGAGCGCGTATGCGTTACCGCTGTAGCGCAAGGTGCTTGTAGCAATTTGACGAAGCATGATGGATTACACGGCGGCTCGTGTAAAAAAATTTACATCCACGGAATAAATTATCATAGCATTGTCTGAGGAACGCGAGCGCGCGCGTTCGTCGGGCGTGCGCTCGTCGGGTGTGCGCGTTTCGCCAGGACGAAGTTTCGTCGACGATCGCCGATTAAAATGGATTTACGGCCGCGATGCGTTTCGCTCGCTCGCTCCGCGGAGCGCAATTATCGAAAATAGTTTCGCGCCGATCCGGCGCGGACGACGAAACTCGCTGGAACATCCAGACTGGAGTTCCTCGAGCGAGAGCTCGGACACCGTCCGCCATTCGCAGGGAACAAGTGAGCGAGTGAGTGAGAGAGAAGCTGCGTGTCTCATTTCCGTGTCCTGGGAGCTTCTCTCTTACTCGTCTCTTCCCTATCAATAAAGATCCGGTCCAATCAGGAATTGTCCACGCGGTGTCTCAACTCTTACTCGAGGAACTCTAATCGAGACTATTACCGTAGACACGCGGATTCCGAGTAACGCTCGCGATCGGTACGCGCGATTGCAGGTAACCCGACTGGGCGGCTTGTTATACTTTTATGCTTGTTATTACGGTACGGTACGTCCAGCCGAGCGGAAAGGTTCGAGTATAATCGCGCAACAGACTATTAGCACCTTCGACATTAAATAACTTTCATCGAGATCGATATTGCGCCGGAAGATATATCGGGTTTCGTTACGCATCGTGAGGCTGAAGTCGCGTAATGGGCGTTCAGGCCACTCGACAACTCCGCCTTCTCAGATATGCCTATAACATTATCTGCGGCCGCGACTACACGGGAACGGAGAAGACTGGACTAAGGTGAGCGGAAACCCCGCCATGTTCTGTGAGAAAACGAGTCAATTCGTTGATCAGCCGCCGATCTGGTCAGATATCGAGCGGCGTTGCGTAAGGAATGAACAGCCTTCGGCGAGTGAGAAATCAATGCGAATTTTTGCGCCAAGCTTCACCATAAAGAGGTCTTGTTACTTAGAAGGCCAGCTCGCAATTTTTTCGTTTTTTTTTTTCCTTCTTTCTTCCTTTCTTTTTCCGATACTTGGGTAAATGGAGAATATACACCGACGTATGTCGATACGGAACGTTCGAGTTTGTAGAGGGACAGCACGAAATTGGCATTGGTGGGGACCTCTCGATAGAGGGACGCATGCGTGAGCGCATAAAACTGAACATCTGCCACGTGCGCGGGCGGCGCATAGTGCGTGGATCTGTGCGTGGATCCGTGCGTGGACTGAAATCTCGAGGGGGAAGATCGTGAAAGCATGGCCGCATCCGCCATGCGTGTGCGCAGCCCACCAGGCGCGGTCGATTCTTTTTTTTTGCTGGCTCTCTCTCTCTCTCTCTCTCTCTCTCTCTCTCTCTGTCTCTCTGTCTCTCTCTCTCTCTCTCTCTCAGCCGCAATATCAAGATGTTAATTAGCGAATGGGTCAGCTTTAGAAGCTGTTTTAGGAACGCGTATACAGGATATACTCTTACGGAATTTCATCACATTACTTTCGCGTGAAGTTCAAAGGTGAAACGCACTGACACTCCCCGCGAGTGATATTGACTTTTTTTTTTTAATTGTTTTTCAACGAGTGAACATTCATTAGAGATAGTGCTTCGGATATTTATCCAATAATTTTTTACATCGTGCGTGCGACACAGATGTTCTATCGCGAAATTTTCCACGCCAAACTCTTTGTAGGTCATTATAGACTTGTTTAATCAGGTGATTACGTAAAGATTTAAACAGTATGATACTTTTTTGTCATATTTATTTGGGATAGATTTATCTGAAGAATCCCGACTTTCCAAAAATTACATCACGCCTTCATAGAATGTAAAAAATTTTGAGAAATTGTCGAGATATCGTTATGTAAGAGTCAATTTCGATGTGAACACCCACGAAAAATGAAATGTCGG